CACTGTGGACTTCCCAACCTCTGAAACTGTAAGCAATAATTATTGTTTCTTTATAAACTACCCAGTTCTAGGTATTTTGTTATAAGCAACAGAAATGGACTAATATGGTAAATAAGAAAATAATTTTTCATAGTATAACTAGAAAGACCTCTTGTGATATATTAAGATAAATGGAATTATACTATATATTAGATATCTAGGTTATCTATTAAATAACCTGACTTTATCATTTAACAAAGTTATCTATCTTAGCTTGGGTTGCTTTAACAAAATACCAGACTGGATGGCCTGCAGCAACAGACATTTATTTCTCACAGTTCTGGAGCCTAGAATGTCCAAGATCAAAGTGTCAGCCAATTCCATTCCTGGTGAGGACTCTCTTTCTAGCATGCAGATGGCCGCCTTCACACTGTGTCTTCCTATGGTCTCTCTTCTTATAAGGACACTAATGCCATCATAGGCGCCCTACCCTCATGACCTTCTCTAAAGCTAATTACTTCCCAAAGGCTCCACCTCCAAATACCATCATGTTGGGGGTTAGGGCTTCAACGCCTGAATTTTGGGGGACACAATTCAGTCTACAGCAGCTATCTTCCATATCTATACATATATCTTCCCTTTAACAACTGCATTCATTTTGATAGAAATTCGTATTTTTTATAATGGTAAACAATGCTGTGATAAACACTTTTATATCTATATATGTGTGTACATGTATAAATATTTCTGTAGGACAAACTCCCACAAGTGAAATTACTTGCTCAAAGGAAGCTCACATTTAAACTGTAAATAATATCAAACTGTCCTTCGAAAAGGTTGAAAAAATGTATACTTCCATAAAAAGGAGAAAATAGTTCTGCACTAACTGCAAGTATAAACTTTTGTATCAAGAGATTTTTATATATTTCTATTCTCATTAAAATGGGCCATTCTCAGTTTTCATTTTATTTGCTCAATCTGTAACTTTTTTTTTTTTTTGGTAGCTGGCCAGTAAGGGGATCTGAATCCTTGACCTTGGTGTTACAACCCCTCCTCTAACTGAGCTAACCCACCAGCCCTGATCAATCTATAACATTTAACATAGTTAATTACCCCTTCTTCCACAAAACATATTCTTCATTTGTCTCTGAAGTTAGTATACTCTATGGTTTTCCTAACACACTGGACTCTCCTTTCCAATCTTCCCTTCTGGTTGCTCCTCATCTCCTTGAATTCTAAGCATTGAAATGTCCTAGGTGTGGAGGGTTAGAAATTTTGATACTCATTTGATTTTAGAATAGGGTTATGGGGCAAAAGCCCTCAGGCAGGAGGCCAAAGTCTACAGATAGCATGGCAAAAGCCCATTTAATCAATTCTAATTAAATAATGTTGATTCTCATTTGATTTTTAGAATAGGGTTTTTAGGTAAATACATATATGGGGCAAAAGCCCTCTGTTAGTAAGCCATAGCCTACAGCCAAGGGGCGACAGACCATCTAATCAACTCTAATTACTGCTTAGGTATGGGATTGTATACTTTAATGATTTTAGAGCTAACTGGTGGTTGTCATACTGATTCTGTTAAGAGATTTTAAGAATTGCTGAAGGGAAAGATGTGAAAAAAATGTTTGCTAGGGGTAAGCTGTTGGTTGGGGGAAACTTTAGAGATAATTGTACTCAGATTTTATCATAAGAATGTAACTTTCGCTTAAGAAGAGGTTATGCTTTAGATAATGAGCCAGTTTGACCAACTTAGCTTTTCACTAATTGTACTTTGGAATGTCACATTGTTAATTTCACTGATGTTACTAGTTTCCATTGTTAAGCTATACTTAGCCATAGATAACTTTTGTAACACTGCCCATGTCCTTGTGTCCTTTTGTAATGACTGAATCAACTGAATTTTCTTGTGAAACTTATCTTTACAATAAAAACAGAAACTAACTTTGAATCAGGGCTATACCCAGTGTTCTCCTACTAACAGGGGAGTTGCTGGGTTACAGACCCTTCCAGCTTCTCATCACATTCATGGTGCTTTGAATAATCCTTTTTTTGTCTCTGTTACACAGTGAGAAGTGTAACACTAGGGATCAGTCCTTGGTCCTCTCTCTACCTGAACCTATTCCCTCGGTAGTATTCCATCCAACCTCATGGATTTAAATGCCATATCTCCACTTGGGTGTCTAAGAGGTGAGGTATCTAGAAACATCTAAAGCTGAATTCATGATCTTATCCCTAAAACTCTGTCCTTCCACAATGTCACCTTGTTTCAACTCAGTATACAGCAACTCCATCTTTCCAGTTGCTCAAACCACATGCTTGCTTCCTCTTTTTCTCTTTACACCCAAACGTCTTCTCTTCATTAAGATTTCTTTCAAGTCAGATCCTGCCTCCCACCACCATTCCCAATCCTGTTAGCTTGCCTATTTTTAAAGAATAGCATGTTTCAATCTCTAAAAATAGCATGTCTCAAATTTCTAAAATTACAGTTCCTCTAATTGATCCTTATCTCTCCTACCAGATGAGCTGAGGGCAGGAAGAGTTCACTACCATATCTGATTCACTAGGGTATCTCTAGCAGTGCTGTTGGCACACAGTGGCCACTCAAGAATTTACTCAGTGAATGAATGGACTGTACAAGTCACACACACATAGATACTATAGTTGAAAACCAGACTGTTGAGATGGCAAAGGCAACAAATTTAAAAATAAGCATCCAGGTTGGGGGCTTCAGCCAACCACGGCTATGAAGCTTTAGACAACTTATCCTTCAAAGTCCATCTCCTCATCTCTAAGACAGGGTTTATGCCATATTCCTCAACATACAAGACATTTGAAATGGACAATATCGATTTAGTAATAAACAAGACACAAAAGTTTCATTCCCTGCAATTTACCAGAACATCTGCTTCAATTCTCCTCTTAATTTCACTTGTTCAGGTATCACACAATTTAAGTGTACATTTTCAGAGGTTCTATGTTACATTGTATCCCTCAAATGTCCACTTGTGCAAATTTTGAGAATGGTAATGGCAATACTAGAAAAAAAAATCGTCAAAGATTCCCTAATTCCATTATGGTGATGGTTGCACAACTCTGCATATATTCTAAAAATCATTTAATCATACACTTAAATGCGTAAATTTTATGGTATGTATATTGTACCTCGATAAAATTGTTAATGAAACAAAAAAGATCCTCTAATTCCACATGAGGCTACTATCAAATATCGTCAAAATTTTGAAATAAAGTACCAAAAGCCCCACAATAAACTAAAACGAACCAGTGCAATAAATGAACTCTGCCATTGAAATAGTCCACCCTAGGGGCCCCGACAATTCCCGTCCTGACTCTGCTCCCGAAAGTGCAGTTGCTGGCGGTATTCTGCCAGGAGAAAGGGTATTTGGGGCTGTTTGAACCACCATAGTCAGAACTCAGAAATTGAGTTGTACTCCTCTTCTCATACAATGGGGAGATGACAAGACTTGACAGGATTACAAGGCTGATTAGGGACAGAGAATCTCCTTCCAGCTCATAGCTTTTCCCACTACTCTTGAGTCTTTTTCCCTTCTAAGTAATAGACTTTATTTTTACAGCAGTTTTAGGCTTACAGAGAAATTGAGCGGATATTACAGGTAGTTCCCATAAACACCACTCATCCACCCACAGTTTCTCCTATTTTTAACATGTTACATTAGTTTGGTACACTTGTTACAATTTTGACCCAACATTGATGTATTATTATTAACTCAGTTTTACATTAGGGTTCCCCCTTTGTATTGTACAGATCTATAGGTTTTGCCAAATATATAATGTCATGTATTCATCATCACAGTATCATACAGAATAGTTTAGTTGCCCTAAAAATCGTCTGTGCTGCACCTATTCATGCCTTCTTCCCTCTAAATCCCTGGCAACCACTAATTTTTTTTTTTTTTCGCTGTGACCTGAGCCGGGTTCCTCCGCCAGAGAAAGCAAATTATCGGACCGGTCCTCCTGTCATGTCAGGCTCACCAAGCAAAGGCCTAATCCCATTTCTTCTCCAGGGTGGACGCCTACGGGGAGGGAGTGTTCGCCTTGATGGTCAACTGGCTTCTAGGTTGCGGAAGGCCCGCGTCCGTTCTCCATCCCCTGGTTTGCTGCAGGGGAGCAGGCACAACCTAGACTCGCCAAGCTGCCGGCCCTCCCTAAGCCTGGAAAACCTCCAGGGGGCCCAGACACCGAGGGAGCCACGCGCGCTCCAGCTGCGACACCCCTTCCAGTTCAGTGGGGGCGCAGCGGGCTGATGCTTCAACCTTGGCTGAACATCAGGCTCACCTGAGGAGATTTTATTTTATTTTTGCCGGCCGGCCCACATAGGGATCCGAACCCTTGACCTTGGTGTTGTCAGCACCACGCTCTCTCAAATGAGCTAAGAGGCCAGCTCACCTGAGGGGATTTTAAAAGCACAACTGTGGGCGCTATCCCAGATTCTCCGAGTCAGAATGGGGATGTGAGAAAGTCGGAAGCCACCCCACAGTCCCAGGTCCAACATCTGCTGTCCAGTCCGGCGCCCACAACACGCCCCCACCCAGAACCCTCCGGGGAAGGCGGGCCCCCTCAGCCCGTAGCAACGCGACCTAGGAGCCCAGGCGGGTCGCGGAGACGCGCTTCCCGCGCCGGCGAAACTGTCTCCCCGCGATACCGCCCGATCCGGCCCCGCCCTTCTTCTCCGCTCCCTGATTGGCTGGAACCAAGGCCCGGATTCCCGAGTCTGTTGCAGCTCAATCTTCAGCGGACTTTCCCTGCCCGTAAAAAGGCGCTCCGCGAACTAGCCTTTTCCCCCAGCCAATCATTTCAGCCAGCCAGTTATCACAGACTTCCTCCACGTTTTCTCCGTCCTCTCCCGCCAACTCTCTACGTTTAATTGCCCCACCCATTTACTTTTCCCCACCGATTGGCGCACGTGCAGCACCGTTCAGCGGGGCGCATGCGCAGTAGGGCGGGCTCCCTGGGTTTTTCTAAGCGCGTGGGTTGGGCTGTCAGGAGCTGCTGCGGAGGAAATTTCGCTGGGTCCACAGTGGGAATTCTGAAACGGAGTCCTTCACAGGAAGGTGGTCTCCGCGTAAGCAGCCGTACTGGCGGTTAAGGTGTGTCGGACTGCAGGCGAGGGCTCTGAGTAGGGTTGCGGTGTGGGAGGAGACTGATCTCAACCTGCCACTCCTGAAGACAGGAGCCTTGCAGCTGAGGAATGGGGCCACGGACAGAATGTGTTTGGTAGATGTGCTCCCGGCTCCTGTCTGTCTGGGGCAACAAGCTCCTTTATCTGACCAGAAAAATGTTTCTGCCAGAGTACTTGGGGCTACCTGAAACCCCACATTCAGAACGCAGAAATCCAGGCCATATTCCCTAATTTTGAGAGAGAGAAAATTCGAGTTCAGAGAGGTGCCAGGACTTGATCAAGGGTTACAAGGCTGGTTAGTGACAGATTTTCAACAAGAACCAAGGTCTCCTTACAGCCCACTGCTTTTCCCACCATGTTTGAGTCTTTTTTGAAAACAATATATATATTTTTTAATTATAGAACAATTTTAGGTTTACAGAAAAATTGTGAGGCTAGTAAAGAAGGTTTCCACTGCCGTTGGCAAATTCTTTAAGCTTTTCTTCATCTTTTGTTCCATCTTCATTCCTGAAGAATACCTTCACTGGATTTAGAATTCTGTACTGACAGTACTTTTCTTTTACCACTTTAAAATTATTCTTCCATTGTCTTCTGGCTTCTGTGCTTTATGATGAGAAATTCACATTTATTTTAATTAGTGTTCCCTTACTTGTAATGTGTTGTTTTTCTTCTGTGCCCACGTTAGAGTCTTAACCACTTGCTTAGTGGAATCCCGTAAATTTGCCCTTTTTCCTCAACCCATGCTTTTCTCTATTCGTCATCTCCCTAGTCCTGGCCCTAGTGGCTAGTTTGGCCCCTCAGAAAATTCAATATTTCCGTTGACCTCTTCCTGTCCAATCCCAAAGGAGATCTCAGTGCTTAACTAATGGATCTGGTTGCCATTCTTACACTACCATTGGTCATTTGGGTAGTTTCCTTTTGGGGGCAATTATGAACAATGCTGCCATGAATAATCTTGTAAATGTCTTTTAATAAAATACACACGTTTCTGTTACATGTATATGTAGGAATGGAATTGCCTGTTCATAAGGCATGCATGTGTTCAATTTTAGTGGATGTTAACTATGGTAGGCAGAGTAAATGGCTCTTGAAAAATGTGCGTGTCCTAATCCCTGGACCTCCGAGTACATTAAGTTACATGGCAAAAGGGAATTAATGTGGTGTGAGGCAAGGAGCCAGGGAAAAAAGAGGGGTGGGTGTGGGGATTAAGGTTACAGAGGGAGTTAAAGTTGCTAATCAGATGACCTTAAGATAGGAAGATCGGGCCGGCCCGGTGGCGCACTGCTACAGTGCGCCGCTTGGGAGCGCGGCGGCGCTCCCGCCGAGGGTTCGGATCCCACATACAGACCGGCCGCTCACTGGCTGAGCAAGGTGCGGGCGCAATACCGAGGGTTGCGATCCCGTTGCCGGTCCGGTCTGGTACGGGTGCGACACTGAGGGTTGCAATCCGTTGCCGGTCACGAAAAAAGACAAAAAGGAAAAAAAAAAAGATAGGAAGATCACTCTGAATTGTCCAGGTGGGTCCAGTTTAATCACAAGGGCCCTTTAGTGGGGATGAGAGAGGCAAGAGGAGGAGAACCAGAGAAATAGTAATGTGGGAAAGACTGAGTCAACCTGGCATTCCTAGCTTTGAAGATGGGGGAAGGAGGCAATGAGCCAAGAACATGGGCAACCTCTATGAGTTGGAAAAGGCAAGGAAACAGATTCTCCCCTTTCCAGAAGGAACACAGCTCTGCTGACACCTTGATTTTAGTCCAGTGAGATCTCCAGAACTGTAAGATAATAAATTTGTATTGTTTCAGCTACAAAATTTGTGATAATTATTTTATACAGCAACAAGAAACTAATACACTGCCAGTTTTCCAAAGTAATTTTATCAATTCATACATTTGGGGAGCTTTAAAAAAATATCCATACATCAGCTCTATACCACAGTAACTGAACTGTAATCTTTCTGGTTAGCTCAGTTGGTTAGAGCATAGTATCATAACACCAAGTTCTAGGGTTTGGATTCCCATACTGGCCAGCATCCAAAAAAACTTTTTTTTTTAAGTTCATCAAGTGATTCTGATGCATTTAGAAGACTGAGAACCACTTATCTAAAGCCTTAAATCCAAACCCAATTACTGAAGAAGAGCATGGCAGTGATTTATTTGGTCATCAGGACTGAAAGTATTTCTAGAAAAGACTGTTTCAGGTACTTAAAGGGTTTCTGTCCCCTGCATGCTCAAAGTTAACACAGCTAACCTTTTACATTGCCCCATGGTTGAACAAATCAGTTCCTGCTAACACAAACTAAGGCCTCTTTGTACTTACAGAAGATGTTTTCTTTAATGTGCTCAGAATGTGGTTTTTTTCAGATACTGCCACACCTTAGCACCTTGACTGTCATGGAGAGCTTCATTCTAGGAACTGGTAGTGCTCACATTTCCTCAGAGAAGGTGCTGTGGATTGATGTCCCCACAAAACTTAGTCCCCAATGTGACAGTATAAAGAAGGTGGGAAATCCTATTATGGTAATTGAAAGGTGGGGCCTTGAAGAGGTGATTAGATTATAGGACCATGCTGTAACAAATGGATTAATAATGGTAGTCAGGGAGCATTGTTCTCAGGGCTTTAAAAGGAGAGCACATGAGAGTCTCTCTTTCTGCTCCACCATTTTCTACCATGAGAGATCCCTGCACTGTTGTAAAGCACCATCAAAGAAGGCCCTCACCATAAGTGTTCCCTGGACTTTGGACTTCCCAGCCTACAAAACTAAGCAATAAATTTCATTTTCTTATAAATTACTCAGTTCTAAGTATTTTGTTATAAGCAACAGAAATGGACTAATACAGATGGGTACTCTGGTAGGGGGAGATGGCCTGCCTGGCTCATGGGGTAGCACAGTGCTACCAGCTCCCATGTGCTAAGACTATGGCAGGCAACTGACCTTTGGGCTATAGCCCTGGGGGAATCCTGAACAAGATATATATGGTTCTTAGCAGGCTGGGCTGTAAGTAGAGGCTCTGGGCAGGGTGTCCCCCACCTTTCCTCTTTTACTAGGCCAAGGACAATCGAGAGGAAAGGTAAGTGAGTCTCTTACATTGCAGCAAGGATTCTGGAGTCAGGGGAGAGTGCCTCTTTCCCCATGGTTGCAGGACAGCTAGGCCTCACTTGTTAACAAATTTACAAGTCCTCAGAAGCCCTGGGCAGTTTTCATTGACATATCTTTCATTGAAAAGATAATGTCATCGAAAGGAATGAAAAGCCCTGTGGTCTGAATGTTTGCCACCTCCAAAGCTCATGTGGGAGTTTGATTCCCAATATGGCAGTGTCGAATAGTGGGGTCTTTAAACTTTATGAGCACCACACTCTCCCAAGTGAGCCATGGGCCGGCCCCTTAAACTTTAAAAGGTGATTGGATCATGAAGACTACATTCTCATGAGTGGATTGACTTATTCGCGGAATAATGAATTAACGGTTTAATGGATTATCATGGTGTGGACTGGTGGCTTTATAAGGAGATCTTTGAACTTGCTCTTGCCATTTTTGCCATATCATAATGTAACGTTGCCTAGGGACTCTGCAGAGAGTTCCCACCAAGAAGGCCCTCACCAGATGTGCCCGCTGGACCTTGGACTTCCCAGCCTCCAAATCTGTAAGAAATAAATTTCATTTTCTTATACGTTATCCAGTTTCAGGTATCGTGTTATCAGCAACAGAAAATGAACTAATACAAAGAATGTTCTAATATTGAAATTATAAACTACTTGGAGCTAGTATTTATGTACTTTTCTGACAGCTGTCAAATATCACAGTGTTTCTCTTTATAATCTGAAATATTTCATGCATGCTGAGATCCCTGCAGTATACCTGGGTATCTTGGCACAGTTTGGGAATCATGAGGGTGACCATTTAGAAAAGGAATGATTTTCATTTTTTCCCTGAATGAGTATTCAAGATAATCATTTTGTTTCAAAGTGCTACTTCTGTAAGATTTAAAGCAACCTGATCCCTCCCACGCTGAAGAGCTCTGTGAAACTAAACCCAACAGGAGACCCTTTTAAAAGACCACAGCAGGCATTGAGTCCCACAGACCTGTCCAGATTCTGTCCTGTTCCCACAGAGGACATCTTGGGTGAACCTAAAACTACCTTGGTCCCCATACTGGCCATCTGCCCACCCACCTCCCAAAATTAAATAAATAAATAAATAAATAAATAAAACTTGAAACATTTTCTTATACGTTATCCAGTTTCAGGTATCGTGTTATCAGCAACAGAAAATGAACTAATAGAACTAATACAAAGAATGTTCTAATATTGAAATTATAAACTACTTGGAGCTAGTATTTATGTACTTTTCTGACAGCTGTCAAATATCACAGTGTTTCTCTTTATAATCTGAAATATTTCATGCATGCTGAGATCCCTGCAGTATACCTGGGTATCTTGGCACAGTTTGGGAATAATGAGGGTGACCATTTAGAAGAGGAATGATTTTCATTTTTTCCCTGAATGAGTATTCAAGATAATCATTTTGTTTCAAAGTGCTACTTCTGTAAGATTTAAAGCAACCTGATCCCTCCCACGCTGAAGAGCTCTGTGAAACTAAACCCAACAGGAGACCCTTTTAAAAGACCACAGCAGGCATTGGGTCCCACAGACCTGTCCAGATTCTGTCCTGTTCCCACAGAGGACATCTTGGGTGAACCTAAAACTACCTTGGTCCCCATACTGGCCATCTGCCCACCCACCCCCCAAAATTAAATAAATAAATAAATAAATAAAACTTCAAAGGTGAGCAGTTTCCTATTTTAAATTCAATAAATTAGAAATTATACTATTTAAAAAGTAGCCCATTAATTTAGATATCAGCCTATCATTAGGACAATGCTGGTGGACTATTAAATACTAGGAAAATAAAAAACACAATACACACTATTGCACATTTACAAGAACTCTCAATGACCCTCCTACCCCTCAATATTTCATATCTGATTTTCATACTCTCATTTAATCAAATAAGATAGATTCAATCTATAGAATATAACTTTACCTGGATTCCTAAGGGGGAGCATATATCCAATAAATTTTTCATTCTAGAAAAAGGCTGTTAACTATGGATATAAATATTCCAGCCAAGAACATAAGTTTCTAATATCCTGTTTAAAATACAGTTAATAATTAAATTAGATAATTATTATATATTGTAAGTAACAATCCAGACTAGACTGTAAATAATGTTACAGAACAAGGTTATTACAAAGAAAAGTTAAATGCCAAACATAGGAGAGAACAGACTTATGTGAAAAATTTCCAATGCATTTTATTCATGCTTCATTCTAGGAACTGGTAGTGCTCACATTTCCTCAGAGAAGGTGCTGTGGATTGATGTCCCCACAAAACTTAGTCCCCAATGTGACAGTATAAAGAAGGTGGGAAATCCTATTATGGTAATTGAAAGGTGGGGCCTTGAAGAGGTGATTAGATTATAGGACCATGCTGTAACAAATGGATTAATAATGGTAGTCAGGGAGCATTGTTCTCAGGGCTTTAAAAGGAGAGCACATGAGAGTCTCTCTTTCTGCTCCACCATTTTCTACCATGAGAGATCCCTGCACTGTTGTAAAGCACCATCAAAGAAGGCCCTCACCATAAATGTTCCCTGGACTTTGGACTTCCCAGCCTACAAAACTAAGCAATAAATTTCATTTTCTTATAAATTACTCAGTTCTAAGTATTTTGTTATAAGCAACAGAAATGGACTAATACAGATGGGTACTCTGGTAGGGGGAGATGGCCTGCCTGGCTCATGGGGTAGCACAGTGCTACCAGCTCCCATGTGCTAAGACTATGGCAGGCAACTGACCTTTGGGCTATAGCCCTGGGGGAATCCTGAACAAGATATATATGGTTCTTAGCAGGCTGGGCTGTAAGTAGAGGCTCTGGGCAGGGTGTCCCCCACCTTTCCTCTTTTACTAGGCCAAGGACAATCGAGAGGAAAGGTAAGTGAGTCTCTTACATTGCAGCAAGGATTCTGGGCTGATTGATGATTTCCTTGTCTGCTGTTTTCATGTTAAATCCCAATATCTTCAATATAGTTTCTCGAAAGTCAATAAGCTACAAAGACCACCACACAAATAAAGATATGTCATTAGTTTGGGTCACCCATTTATTACATATGATGAAATTGATACTAGAAATTAGGTCTTATTAAACATTCTTCATTAAATGTAACGATTTCCACAAACAGTATTATTAAGCTGGAAAAATGTTCTCTTCTTTTTTTTTTTTTTTTAAAAGATGACGGGTAAGGGGATCTCAACCCTTGGCTTGGTGTTGTCAGCACCATGCTCGGCCAGTGAGCTAACTGGCCATCCCTATATAGGATCCGAACCCGTGGCCTTGGTGTTATCAGCACCGCACTCTCCCGAGTAAGCCACAGGCAGGCCCCCCCAAAATGGTCTCTTCTGGGCCAACCCTGTGGCTCACTCGGGAGAGTGCTGCGCTGGGCGCGGATGACGCCGAGCCAAGGGTTGCAATCCCCTTACCCATCACACACACACACACACACACACACACACACACACACACACACACACAAAAAGGTCTCTTCTGTTACAAGAATTCTTTATGTAAAATCTCCTTTGAATTTTAAGATTTTTTCTTATTTTTACACTTTTGTAGACTAAACCTAATTTTATTGCTGCTTGTTTTGTTATTTTTCATCCATAAGATAATTACTTTTTGGACTTCCAATTTGCTATATGATAGGAGTACCCTAAATGCTCCACCCATGCTCCAATGATCAGCAAGGAGAACAAATAAAAANTAAACCTAATTTTATTGCTGCTTGTTTTGTTATTTTTCATCCATAAGATAATTACTTTTTGGACTTCCAATTTGCTATATGATAGGAGTACCCTAAATGCTCCACCCATGCTCCAATGATCAGCAAGGAGAACAAATAAAAACCACCTATAAATCATGCCTATAATATAGCTAGAGACTATCAGACTTCAATTTGCATATGAGTGGGGAAATAAGTATCCTAAACCAGCAGAGGTGGCTTCAGAGGAGGGTACAGCTAGTTTCCAGTGGTGTAGAACACAAA